TTTTTGTACAGTTAACTGTGTTAAGCCAAAAAAATATCTCTGCCAATTCTAAGTACTTTTTCCGGCTATCAAACTTTTCGAAACTATATGTGGCTTACAAAAACGCATTAAATTTGTCCTCTCATGTAGTTCGCATTTCAACCAAACTTGCCATAATTCCTCTACGAAATTCAACTGAAATTTCATTACAATACTTGCAACTGCTTTGCGTTTCCAATAACAGTTATGGAGTAGCTGACTCTTCGGCCTCTCCGTTCTTATTGGCCATTGCGATTTGGCCGTTATTTGCTGGTGGTAATGGCGGATTGCTGACCACGGTCGTCGAGTATGTGATCGATCCTCACCATATACGCCACGTTAAGCCTTCCATCTTTCTGTCAACAGGTCTCTAATACGATTGAACCGCAGGCGGTCTGCACTAAATCTGCATTCTCAAGTCACAATATTTTGTTAATTTAAAGGAATATTTCCCCAGAATGAATTTAAAGCAAGCAAGGACAGCAGAATTTAATGGTACCACAAAATTTCGCGACGGCTTCTCAACTGCTGCCGGTCGTTGCATAACAGAAATAATAAGTGAGAAAGGTACAAAGGTTTGAATTTCGACTGATAAAATCGATGTAAAACAGCAAGGTCAACGTGTACTGCGCGTAGACTAATCGATAAAATGGTAACTTCAAAATGCAACATAGGAATGAAAATGGGGAACTAGACATGCCGAGGGATTTCGAAACTCAAAAGAGGCTCGGGTCTACCAGGGCAAGCTGAGGCTGACCAGGTGGTCTAACTGTTTACATAGGTCAGCTTTCTTCCGCCGTATATAGACTGCCTCCAGGTAGCGCAATAACCGAGTAGTTCGTGCTCGAACTAATACTCGAAAAGACGTGTTAGGGTCAACCGAATGGCCACTATCAAGGAGATGTTTTGTAATGGAAGACCGTGGAGTCTTGTTCCCCTGCTTTAGAAGCCATTTAGGCAGGTGCTCAACTGCTCTGGCTGCCAGATGCCTTTGCGTTCGCCCAATGTACTTGCATCCACAAGTACATGTAAATTCGTACACACAATTTGACGTGGCGTGCAGTGGCAAGGCATCCTTCGCGCGTGGAACTTCGATAGCCTTAGTAGAACTGTAGAAGATGAGTTCAGCTGAGTTGTAAGTTCTTTCAATAGCGCATCTCAATCGCCGCTTGATAATATTAGAGATGTTGTCGGCCCTAAAGTGTAACGATATTATAACGGGCTTTTTCGGAACAGATTACTCCGTCAATTTTGGCCGCAAATTGTTGCTGTACTTTTCGATGAATCGTGTTGGATATCCCCGTTTAAGCAGGGCTGTTTTTAGGCAAGAAATTTCATCATCCAGCGTTTCAATAGAGCAAATATTTCTTGCTCTTTGGAATAAAGTGCAAACCAAATTTCGCTCTATTCGTATCGGCACAAAGCTCAAGAAGTGTAGGTATTGGCCTTTCCATGTGTCTTTGTGGAAAACAGATCGCCGTATTGAACAATCTTCCTGTCTAGTCATGAGGACATCCAGGAAAGAGAGCTTGTTGCACTGCTCCTACTCCATTGTGAATCTATTCTTAGGATGGAGACTGTTCATGGCAACAAGTAGGTCTTAGGCAGCCAGAGCAGTTGAGCACCTGCCTAAATGGCTTCTAAAGCAGGGGAACAAGACTCCACGGTCTTCCATTACAAAACATCTCCTTGATAGTGGCCATTCGGTTGACCCTAACACGTCTTTTCGAGTATTAGTTCGAGCACGAACTACTCGGTTATTGCGCTACCTGGAGGCAGTCTATATACGGCGGAAGAAAGCCGACCTATGTAAACAGTTAGACCACCTGGTCAGCCTCAGCTTGCCCTGGTAGACCCGAGCCTCTTTTGAGTTTCGAAATCCCTCGGCATGTCTAGTTCCCCATTTTCATTCCTATGTTGCATTTTGAAGTTACCATTTTATCGATTAGTCTACGCGCAGTACACGTTGACCTTGCTGTTTTACATCGATTTTATCAGTCGAAATTCAAACCTTTGTACCTTTCTCACTTATTATTTCTGTTATGCAACGACCGGCAGCAGTTGAGAAGCCGTCGCGAAATTTTGTGGTACCATTAAATTCTGCTGTCCTTGCTTGCTTTATATTTTTTTAATTATTGTGATTACTAGATAACTTATTTCCCATGCGCAAAAGCCTGCGGATTTTCGTGCCGGAAGCTAAACATTTAGTTATATCGGTCTAAGTATTATAAAGCTGACGGATGACTTTATTATAGATAGCGGATTTGTGTTGAGGAAAACATATCTGGAGGAAGTGAATTGATAGCGTTTAAGGGCTGTGAGAATATGGGAGAAAGGATGATGGAACATTTTAATTGCGACTATTGATCTTCTATACCAGACATACTACTAAAATACGACGATAGTTGTTAGAATGCTTGATAATAAGCGGATGCACATACTAGCTTCCGGCCTCCTATTCCATAAAAATATAAGAATAACTCATTAGCACTCTGAGCAGTGCGAAGCGTGAATATATTTCGGTAAAAGATAGGTCGTGTCGGCACCTCCTAAATGCCAGATTTAGATACTGAAACAAAGAAATCAATATTACTCAAGCATCGTAAGTTCGGAGACACGAATATGTCCGTCTTGTATGCTCGAGAAATTACCATGTGCATTCCGAACAGCTGCACGGCAGGTGGATGATATTTTTATTAACAGGCGTCCGATAGTGCACCTCATGCAGCCTATTCAGTCTGGGTCAACTTTTTGTCAAAAAATTCAAGTTTTTCTTATTCGTTTGCAAAAATGAAGCTGAAAGCTGAACGGGATATTTTTTTCCTCCAGTGATTGAGTCTGTGTTCCCGCATCAGTAAAGTCTGTAAAGTTATTTACTTTTGACATTTCCCCATTGTTTTACAATCATTTCGGCTGTAAGAAACTCAGCATTCCCCACCTAGAGTTAAGTGTTTGCGTCATCTATTTTTCTTTGTAGTTTTAATAGTCGTTTACACTACGAAAATGGTTAACCAGTTTTTGCACATTTTCACACACTTATATTTGCCATGACCGAAAACATTAACACACTCTCCTTCAAACTGCCCCCATTTACGCCGAGCAACCCCCGAGTATGGATTCGGCCAATTGAGGCTGTTTTCTTGAAAAACCGTATCATCAGTGAACGCACCCAATATTCATACGTGGTGCGGAGTCTTCCATTCAATGTCGCCGTGGATGTTGAGGGTCTCGTTAACCCGATTCCTGCCTATAACCCTTGCACTCGGTTAATGTACGCTGTGGTCCAGCGTGTGCCTAAATCGGAAAATAGGATGCTGAGGGAAATTTTTACGCATATGAAACTTGGTGACCAAACACCGGGCGGTGGAGTGCACTCAATATAGGCTGGCACATCTCATCCACTTCCTTTGATTAAACCCGAATCGCCAACTATGACAATGGTCTCTCTCGTTTTGCCTAGCCGGAAACTATTAAGTGCGAATGTGATGTTAGCAAGGGAATTGCAGCACGATGTGGGGTGCGTTCAGTAGATGAAGTGAAGAATTTGCATCCCTTTCATCTGTGAAAAGTAAACGAACCTTATTACCGACGAAGACAAGGGAGGCTGGAATGGTCCTTTCTGGTTAATTTGCTGCCGTCGGCCAGTTATCCGCAACTTCGAAGTGAAGAACGCTCAGTATTCGACCCCGCGACCCGTTTCTTAGAAATCAAACACCTCTAATCACTCATACGAACTTGCGATTGAAAAGAAAGAGAAAACAAAGACAAACCTCGTTCTTCCCCTCTCCGAGGTACCGAACAGGCCCCTAGGATGAGTTCGTAACAATCTGACGGCTTGAAATGTCCGTACCACCTTTGCCAATCCAACAAGCAAGTGGCCGAAACGAAGGACGGCGCTAGTCTATCGGGAACCGGCGCGTTACATGTTGGACATCGCTGCTCTTACCAAAGCCCAGTTCCTCGTGTAAAGCCGACTTGTTGAGGTGGGTGCCGGTCACACCTTCTTCTGGAGGGGAACCCAACGACAGAGTTTTTTGACACATGACATCCGAAGAGCCATTGTGAACCTACTGCCCAGTCTGCCACAGGATGTCAACGAGCACTCCCTGAAACAGCGCTGACATCTTCGGGATGACACGTCAGTTTCTACGTCTCCATCCCCCCAATGACCAGTTCCAACGCGACGGGGGCCACGATGGACTGGCCACTTCGTGAAGATGTACAATAAATAACAAGCAAAACGAAACGACAGTCATGCGGCAATCGCTACCCAACGCTGTATGCACCTTTTTCTTCTTGTCCTTGAGAACAGCACAAACTGAAAACTGTGGACAACTTCGTCTATTTTGGTAGCACCATGCAAGCCTGCATCGAAGCCGACAATGAATTGGCCCACCGGTCACAAAAACCAATCCCTCGTTTTGTCGGCTGCAGAACGTTATAGTTTTCATCTTAACACTGAACTCCTGACATATAATTATGGTTTCTGGATTACAAACATGTATGCTGCAGAGCCTTGTACCGTCTACAGGAAACAAGCGCGGAATCACAACCACCTTCATCTTAGATGTCTCCTGCAGTTAGTCAACCAGAGGTGCAGGGCGAAATTCTGGACTTGTAAGACATCCAACCCAATAGAATCCTCAGCAATCACGCCATGTAAGGGCAACTGCAACTACGATGGAGAGACCAATTTCTGTGGGTGTACGATGAACGACAAACAAAACAGATGTGCTCCCGCTGAAAGCATATTCAATGCGATCGCAATTGAAAAAGAATTCTTGGGAAGATCGAAGTAAGAACTGACCGGGCTAAAGAAGCAGAGTGAATGCTGAAGCAGCAACACACAAAACCAACGGGAGTGAAGTCAAAAGGTAAGTTCCTGAAGCTCAGGCGTCCAAGATCAATAACAACGTACAGGGGGAGGCGTCGTGTGTGTGTGTGTGTGGGGGGTGTAGTGGTGTCAGCGGTGGGTTCACGTGATGGTCGTAGTGGTCGCTCACTTGCTCGCAGGTGAGACTACGCCTAGCGTCCACTTGCTGGCACTCAACTCTCACCTGTGGCTCCACGTAGCTGGGCTCTGGTCAGCGGCCACACCCCGGGCAACCGCCTCGACCGGCGGGCTAAACCAGGTGAGGGCGGTTACTCCCTGTGCGCGTTGTGCCGCGTGCACAGGTGACTGCGGACTCCGTGGACGGTGGGTCGGATGGGGTACCGCGTCGGCGCCGTCGTGACAAGGCTCTGTCTGGCACACCGCTGGTCAGCCGGTTGGTGGTGGAACTTCGCATCGGCATCGTCGAGACGAGGCTCCGCCTGGTACGCCGTTGATCAGACGGTGGGATGGATCACCGAATTGGCACCGTTGACACGCGCCCATCTGGTGCACCGTAGGAGACCGCAGGCTTGCGGCAATGCCGTAAGCCATTGGCAAATTCGAGTCGTTCTTCCACTGCCAAAAAAACTCGTGGCCCACAGGGGAGTTCGGCAGCGCCGGCACATCAAGCAGCCGCTATTCAGGGGTCAGGGCACTGCTTCCTTCGGGGGGGCCTGGAAATGCTGGCCTAAAAATTGCTGGGGAACCACGTCGTCTGCTGGCGCACCGTGGTCGCAGACGCAAAACTCACGGTCGAAACAATCAAACTCGAAACAACAACAACAACAACAACAACAACAACAACAACAACAACAACAACAACAACAACAACAACAACCATACTCATTCTCCTCATCCTACCTCTTCTTCCTTTACCTCCGTCTATTCTTCTGCCTATACTTCTCCTTCGTCACCTTCTTCTTCATCTCATTCCTGTCGCCCCACTCGTTTTCCCCAGACTGACAGAGTGAGTCCGCTCACTCTGGCAGCCTGGAATGTTCGTTCCCTTTTAGACAATCCGAGGAGCAACCGGCCGGAACGGAGGACGGCGCTAGTGGCTCGGGGACTGGCGCGCTACAAGGTGAACATAACCGCACTCAGCGAGACCCGATTCTCCGAACAAGGCCAACTGGAGGAGGTGGGTGCCGGCTACACCTTCTTCTGGAGTGGTCGACCCAAGGCAGAGCGACGAGACGCGGGTGTCTCCTTCGCCATCCGGACCGACATCGTGGGACGACTGACCAGTCTGCCGCAGGGAATCAACGACCGCCTTATGAGCATCCGTCTGCCTCCCGGGGGGGAGGCAAATTTGCCACCATCATCAGCGCCTACGCTCCTCCGATGACCAGCCCCGACGCCGCACGTGACAAATTCTACGAGGACCTGCACGCCCTCATGGCGACTGTGTCGAAGGCGGACAAGTCGATTGTCCTTGGCGACTTCAACGCCCGCGTCGGCACAGACCATACTGCCTGGAGAGGAGTGCTGGGTCCCTACGGTCTCCGCGGCTCCAATGACAATGGTCTGCTGCTTCTCCGCACCTGCGCAGAACACTGCCTCATTCTGACGAACACGTTCTTCTGTCTGCCGGAGCGAGAGAAGGACACCTGGAGGCATCCTCGGTCGCGTCAGTGGCACCTGCTGGACTATGTCCTCGTCCGGAGGCGAGATCAGCGGGACGTGCTGTTGACGAAGGCGATCGCGGGTGCTGACGGGTGATCCGACCATCGCCTCGTCATCTCGAAGATGCGTGTTCGCCTACAGCCTCGCAGGAGACCACAGGTAAGCAACCATTAGGTAAGCTGAATGTTGCTCTGTTGTCTTTGCCCGCTCACCATCTCCATTTCAGCAATGAGCTAGCTCAACGGCTAGACAACCTTCCATCGCCGATGCCGCCGCTGCCGAGAACGATTCCGTGGAGAACCGCTGGTGTCAACTGCGAGACACGGTCCAGTCGACGGCGCTAACCGTCCTCGTCCGCGCACGCCGCCAACACCAGGACTGGTTCGACGACAACAACGCCGCCATCGGAAATCTGCTTGCTGAGAAGAACCGCCTACACAAAGCCTACGTAGCTCACCCCACTGAAGACAACAAAGCTGCCTTCTACCGCAGTCGCCGACAGATTCAGCAACGACTGCGCGAGATGCAGGACGCCTGGACTGCTCGCAAAGCTAAGGAGATCCAAGGGTACGCGGACCGCAACGAATGGAAGAATTTCTTCTCCTCGATCAAAGCTGTCTACGGCCCGTCGACGAAGGGCACTGCAACTCTCCTCAGCGCCGACGGCAGCACTCTCCTGACTGAGAAAACGCAAATCCTCAGCGATTGGCCGAGCATTTCCGGAGCGTTCTCAACCGCCCATCCGTCATCTCCGACGCCGCCATCGCCCGCTTGCCGCAAGAGGAGACTAACGTGGACCTCGACCTCCCGCCATCTCTCCAGGAAACGATGAGGGCCGTGCAGCAGCTCTCCAGCGGGAAAGCACCCGGATCGGACGCAATCCCTGCTGAGGTCTACAAGCACGGAGGTCCCGAATTGATGGATCACCTGACTGCGCTCTTCCAGGAGATGTGGCGTCAAGGTGAAGTCCCGCATGATTTCAAGGACGCAACTATCGTGCACCTATACAAGCGAAAAGGGAATCGCCAAGTCTGCGACAACCACCGCGGCATCTCCCTACTGAACATCGCCGGGAAGATCTTCGCTCGCATCCTGCTCAACCGCCTCAACAACCATCTGGAACAGGGCCTTCTGCCGGAAAGCCAATGCGGCTTCCGTCGTCATCGTGGGACCACGGATATGATCTTCGCAGCCCGCCAACTCCAGGAGAAGTGCCAGGAGATGCGAACCCACCTGTACTCTACCTTCGTGGACCTGACGAAAGCCTTCGACACGGTGAATCGTGAAGGACTGTGGAAGATCATGCAGAAATTCGGCTGTCCGGAGCGATTCACCCAGATGGTGCGTCAGCTGCACGACGGTATAATGGCGCGAGTAACGGACAACGGAGCTGTCTCATATGCATTCGCAAGGACCAACGGAGTGAAGCAGGGCTGTGTGCTGGCGCCTACCCTCTTCAGTCTTATGTTCTCTGCCATGCTGATGGACGCCTACCGCGGCGAACGCCCCGAAATCCGCATCGCCTATGAAACGGACGGTCACCTCCTGAATCACCGGCGCATGAACTTCCAATCGCGCGTATCCACAACCACCGTGCACGAACTCCTCTTCGCCGACGACTACGCCCTGAACGCCACCTCGGAAGAGGAAATGCAACGCAGCATGGACCTATTCGCCGCCGCCTGCGAGAACTTTGGGCTGGTCATTAACACGCAGAAGACGGTGGTGATGCATCAACCGCCACCCAACTCAGCCACAGCCCCCAACGCGCCGCCGCAAATCAACGTGAATGGGACTCAACTGCAAGTGGTAGAGAACTTCCCGTACCTGGGCAGTACCCTCTCACGCAGCACCAAGATTGATGACGAAGTCGCCGACAGGATCTCGAAAGCCAGTCAAGCCTTCGGTCGCCTCCAAAGCACAGTTTGGAATCGCCACGGTCTCCAACTGAGCACGAAGCTGAAGATGTACTAGGCCGTCATCCTGCCGACGCTACTGTATGGAGCGGAGTCTTGGACGGTGTACACGAGGCAGGCACGCCGACTGAACCACTTCCACCTCAGCTGTCTCCGTCGCATCCTGAATCTGAACTGGCAGGATCGAATCCCCGACACGGAAGTGCTGGAACGAACGGGAATCCTCAGCATATACGCCATACTGAGACAAGTGCAGCTGCGCTGGAGCGGCCACCTGGTGCGCATGGACGACGAGCGACTACCCAAACGACTCTTCTAAGGAGACGTCGCGACGGGTTCTCGTCTTCAAGGAGGCCAAATTCGCCGTTACAAGGATACCTTGAAGTCCTCCCTGAAGCGCCTGCAAAGCAACCTGACCAACTGGGAAGAGCTCGCCCGCGATCGTCCGACATGGAGGAGAACAGTGAAGACGGGCGCTGCTATCTACGAAGCTAACCGCATCGCCGCCGCCAAAGTGAAACGCGAAGCCCGCAAATCACAACTTCGCCCAATGCGCAACGCCGCCGCACAACCGCTCCCTACGTGTCCTCGATGTCAACGGACATTCCGGGCACGAATCGGACTTGTTGGACATCTCCGGATCAACTGCACCTCTCGAACTGCACCAGCCATCGTCCCCCCGCCCGCCCCTTCCTCGTCCTTTCTGCCGCCAACTAACTCTGACATTCCCTCTACACCACCACTTCCATCCTCCTCGTTCTCCTCCACTGCCCCAGCGGCGTCCGTTCAGACTGCCGTCTCACACATCTCCAACCCTGACACAATAACCGCCACCACACCCACCTCTCCCTATTCCAGTGATGAGGATCAGGACTACACCTGCCCTCACTGCGACCGCACCTTCACCTCTCGCATCGGCCTGGTCGGTCACTTGCGAATCCATCGCACAGAGCTTGGTGAACCAGTGCCTGGAGCACCAACCCACACCCACCGCACTCGCCTCCACTGCCCACAATGCCCTCGCACCTTCACTCACCGCATGGGCCTGTTCGGCCACATGCGCATCCACGAGAGCGGAATTGACCGCAGCCTTGACACACCCACCCCGCCGAGCCCCACTCCCAATCCACCACCTTGTGCACCAACTAACCCCTCCCCAGCCGTCATCGACGCCACCGACCTTACAACCCCTCACTCCTCCCCTTCCTCCTCCTCTTCCTCCTTCACTGCCACAACGACGGCCACTTCAGCGTCTGTCGCCCACGACTTCACCACAGCCGAACCTGACACAACAACAGGCACAACCCCTGCAACCTGCATCATCAGACGTGAGGGCCAGGACTACATCTGCCCTCACTGCGATCGCACCTTCACCTCACGCAACGGCCTGGTCGGTCACTTGCGAATCCATGGCACAGAGACCGGCGAACCAGTGCCTGGAGCACCAATCTACACCCAGCGCACTCGCCTCCACTGCCCACACTGCCCTCGCACCTTCACGCATCGCATGAGTCTATTCGGCCACATGCGCATCCACGAGAGCGGAATTGACCGCAATTCCGATACAGCCACGACATCCAACACATCCACCACGCCCAGACCCATCCTCGCTCCACTGTCACATGCGCCGACCACCACCACCAACACCACTGCTTCCTCTACAGCTGACACCGACACCGCCGACCTCTCATGCCCACACTGTCCACGCACCTTCACCTCACGCATCGGCCTGGTCGGTCACTTGCGAATCCATCGCACAGAGACTGGCGAACCAGTGCCTGGAGCACCAACCTACACCCACCGCCTTCGCCTCAACTGCCCACACTGCCCTCGCACCTTCACGCATCGCATGGGTCTATTCGGCCACATGCGCATCCACGACGACCTGCGGTAGACAACCGCCGGTCACACCACACATTCCTTCACACCCTACCTCCTAACACCATCACCCCACCAGACCTCAACCCTCACACACCTCATGCACTCAACTGCCGCCTCCCACGCAAGTGGGAAGTGTGCATCTCGACTCGATCCCCATGCGGCTTCGGCTGCACGGGTGACTTGTGTCCGAGACTATCCCGACACTTCAAGTGTCGTGGATAGGAAGGTTGCTGTTTGAGGCCTGCTCTCGGTTCACGCAGTTCGTCATGTTGTGTGTGTGTTTTGTGTAGTGGCGGACTGGTGGGCTGGGGACGGGCTGCAACAGCACCTTCCACGGCACTCTCAAACAAGTGAGAGACACGCCGTTCAACCCCCGTTGTGTGAAATCATGGTGTGTGTGTGTTTGGGGGGCCAGGTCGTGCTGTGGAGCGCGTAGTCATGGTCAGTCGACCGTGTCAGCCACCGCGCCCATTTCCCACTCCAGTCTGCTGACCGGCTCGGACAGCGGCTGGGGTGTGGGAGTGGGAAGGGAGAGTGAGGTCGACGACTCAGCGCACTTTCTCCTCACTATAATCAATCTGACGCGCTTGAAGCTATCACGGTGCGCTAAAAGCCGTGGCTTGGAAGGTTTCCAACTGACGGGGTACCTTGGACCTCCTCTTTCACGGGAGGCGGTCTGAGAGTCAGGCTGAAATGTCTCCTTTTTAATGTGGCTTTTATGGCATGTCCACCACAGTGTGGGATCCGAGCCAGGCGTTGGCGGCACGCCTAGGTGCGGCTTCGGCCGTGCCAGCCTCCAATATCGGTTGTGTTGGTTGAACTCTTGGTTATTTGTTGTGTGGACCTTGGGGTGTGGTGGAACGCGAAGGTGAGGATCCGTCCGAGCCATCCACCTGCGGCCTCCCTCGTCTCCGGTCTTCTTGACTCTGTCTTGACACCGGGCCCAGGCGGGGGAGGAGGAGAGAGTGTAGGTAGATGCTACGCAAGTCTACTGGCAATATATACCCCTGCGTAAGTCACCGTCCCTGCTCCCACCGCTGATGCAGCTGTATGGCACACGGTGGACATCGTCGAAATCGACGGTCGAACTGTCGTGTGTGTGTGTGTGTGTGTGTGCGTGCGTGCGTTACGATTTATATTTCCCCGCACCCCATCCCAATATCCGTGGATCATAAGAGAGTTCGGCAGCCCGCGCCGTGAGGAGATAAAAGGTTAGACACAGTGCCCTAAAAATTGCTGGGAACCACGTCTCTGCAGGCTGGCCGTGGCCGCAGACAAAACACACGGTCAACACAACCAAAACCGAAACAACAGCAATCACTCTTTTCCTCGTGCAGCCTATTCTCCTTCTTCCTCTCATTCTCCGTTTCGCCAACGCAATCGCCAGACTGGCAGGGTAAGTCCGCTCACTCTGGCAGCCGTAATGTGCGTTCCCTTTTAGACAAGCCAAGGAGCAACCGGCCGGAACGGAGGACGGCGTAAGTAGCTCGAGAACTGGCGCGTTACAAGGTGAACATCGTCGCTCTCAACGAAACCAGATTCTCCGAGCAAGGACAACTGGAGGATGTGGGTGCCGGCTACACCTTCTTCTGGAGTGGTCGGCCCAGGGCAGGGCGACAAGACGCGGGTGTTGACTTCGCCATCCGGAAGGAAATCGTAGGACAACTGCCCTGTTTACCACAGGGCATCAACGATCGCCTGATGAGCCTCCGTCTGCCTCTCCGGGGTGGTGGCAAATTCGCTACCATCATCAGCGCCTACGCTCCATCGATGGCCGGCCACGACGTCGCCGCAAGAGGCAAATTGTACGAGGAACTTCACGCTCTCTTGGCGACTGTAGAAAGCGGACAAGTTGTCTGTCCTCGGTGATTTCAACGCCCGCGTCGGCACAGACCATACTGCCTGGAGAGGAGTGCTGGGTCCTTATGGTCTCCGAGGCTGCAACGACAACGGCCTGCTGCTTCTCCGCACCTGCGCATAACACCGTCTCATCCTGACGAACACGTTCTTCTGTCTGCCGGAACGAGAGTAGGACACCTGGAGGCATCCTCGGTCGCGTCAGTGGCACCTGCTGGACTATGTCCGCGTTCGGAGGCGAGATCAGCGGGAGGTGCTGGTGACAAAGGCGATCGGGGGTGCTGACAGGTGGACCGACCATCGCCTCGTCATCTCGAAGATGTGTATTCGCCTACAGACTCGCAGGGGACCACAAGGTAAGCGACCCCCATGTAAGCTGAATATTACCTTGTTGTCTTTTCCCGCTCACCATCTCCATTTCAGCAATGAGCTAGCTCAACGGCTAGACAACCTTCCATCGCCGATGCCGCCGCTGCCGAGAACGCTTCCGTGGAGAACCGCTGGTGTCAACTGCGAGACACGGTCCAGTCGACGGCGCTTACCGTCCTCGTCCGCGCACGCCGCCAACACCAGGACTGGTTCGACGACAACGACGCCGCCATCGGAAATCTGCTTGCCGAGAACAATCGCCTACACAAAGCCTACGCAGATCACCCCACTGACGGCAACAGAGCTGCCTTCTACCACAGTCACCGCCATCTTCAGCAACGACTGCGCGAGACGCAGGACGCCTGGACTGCTCGCAAAGCTGAGGAGATCCAAGGGTACGCGGGCCGAAACGAATGGAAGAACTTCTTCTCCGCTATCAAAGTTGTCTACGGTCCGCCAGCGAAGGGCACTGCTCCTCTCCCCAGCGCCGACGGCATTACCCACCTTACTGAGAAGACACAAATTCTACAGCGATGGGCCGAGCATTTCCGAGGCGTCCTCAAACTCCCTTTCACCATCTCCGACGCCGCCATCGACCGTTTGCCGCAAGTGGGGACCAACGTGAACCTCGACCTTCTGCCATCACTCCAAGAAAACACCAGTGCCGTGCAGAAGCTCTCCAGCGAGAAAGCACCCGGATCAGACGCATAACCTGCTGAGGTCTACAAGCACGGAGGACCCCAACTGATTAATCACCTGACTGCGTTCTTCCAGGAGATGTGGCGTCTAGGTGAAGTCCCAAAATACTTCAAAGACGTAACTATCGTGCATATATACAAGCGAAAAGGGAACCGCCAATCTGCGACAATCACCGTGGCATCTCCTTGCTGAACATCGCCTGGAAGAACTTCGCTCGCATCCTGCTCAACCGCCTCAACAACCATCTGGAACAGGGCCTCCTGCCGGAAAGCCAATGCGGCTTCCGTCGTCATCGTGGGACCACGGATATGATCTTCGCCGCCCGTCAACTTCAGGAGAAGTGCCAGGAGATGCAGAACCACCTGTACTCTACCTTCGTGGACCTGACGAAAGCCTTCGACACGATGAATCGTGAAGGGCTGTAGAAGATCATGCAGAAATTCGGCTGTCCTAGCGATTCACTGAGATGGTGCGTCAGCTGCTCGACGGTATGATGGCGCGAGTCACGGACAACGGAGCTGTCTCAGAGGCATTCGCAGTGACCAACGGATTGAAGCAGTGATGCGTGCTGGCGCCCACCCTATTCAGTCTCATGTTCTCTGCCATGATGATGGACGCCTACCGTGATGAGCACCCCGGGATCCGCATCGCCTACAGGACGGACGGTCACCTCCTGAATCAACGGCGGATGCACTTCCAATCGCGCGTATCCACAACCACCGTTCACGAAATTCTCTTCGCCGACGACTGCGCCCATAACATCATCTCGGAAGAGGAGATGCAACGGAGCATGGACCTGTTCTCCGCCGCGTGCGAGATGTTTGGGCTGGTCATCAACACGCAGAAGACGGTGGTGATGCATCAACCTCCACCCAACACAGCCACTCCTCCCCGACGCGCCGCAAATCAGTGTGAACTGCACCCAACTGTAGGTGGTGGAGAAATTCCCGTACCTGGGCAGTACCCTCGCCCGCAACACCAAGATCGATGCCGAAGTCGCCAACTGTTAGGACGGCCGAGAACATGGCGCACCTTTCCTGTCGTCCGGAGGTCACGCCTGACAAAGAATTGCAAACTTGCCGCTCAGCCTCGCCTAGGAAGCCCGCATGCGAACCAGTCATGCGCGACCTCCAGGGGTCAACAACACGCGAGGGCCTGCCCATGCGGGCGCTCAGGACTGGACCAGTAGGAACACGCAAACCAGACGAAGGCTGAACCTTTAAATACGAAGCCACGGACGGAAGGATTAAGAGTTGATGTACACAGGGTGACTGACGCAGTAAATCTGTTCTCTCCTATCCTGTCTGTCTTCTATTACGCACAGAACTGGCGTCATACTAATTGGGGATATAACAAGTGGCGACGCAGGTGAACACGGAAAATGATCAGTGAAGATCAGATGCAGAAATTGTTGGAAGCACAGCAAGCCAGTTTTATGGCTCTTCTCGCAGGAATGCAGAAGGACTGGAAGCAGACAGGAAACGATGACAGAAGAAATTGGCTGGAGGACAGGATCACTTAATTCACCTACGACCCTGACGACGGTTTCACGTTCGATATGTGGTTCAGAAAATATGAATTACTGTTCGAAAGAGAGGGGAAAAGTCTTGCTGAAGGAGAAAAAGTGGAAATTCTGTTTCTGAAACTTGGACGAATGGAACACGAGAAGTATGTCAAATTCGTCCTACCGAAGAAACCGGCCGAAATCGAATTCACGGAGACGGTGAGAAACCTGAAATTCTTATTCAACTACTCATAGTCATTGTTTAACAGACGTTTTGAATGTTTTAAATTGAAAAATAGGGTAGACGAAGACTATTTTGATTTGGCAGGCAGACTAAAGGATATGTACCAACAGGCTGATCTAGAGCAAGCAACAGCAAACCAGGTTAAGGCCCTGTTGTTCATAAAATAACTTACTCTAACGGAGGACGCGGACATACACACGCGGCTGCTGTCCAAACTGGATCAGGATGATGACACAACTGTACAGAAGTTAGCAGATGAATGTTTTAGACTCAGGAACATTAAACAGGATACAAAGTTGATTGGCGAAACAAACAGTCAACAGCTACAGGTGTTGGACATTAGGAAAAACTGGCCGCCACATAGAGAAACATTTCCCAGAAGACCAAAAACTGCCTGTTGGCAGTGCGGTGCATGGCACTATGTCATCGACTGCCCCTATAAAACGCAGAAGTGTTTCAAATGTTCGAGATTTGGCCACAAATCGACATACTGCAGAGCAGGACGGTCAAGTCCCAGGAAACAGTGCAACACCGTTTCTGATGTTGAGGCACGGGTGCTAGGCTGTGAACACCGAAAATACCTAACCGTGATCATAAATGAGAAAGCTGTCAGGCTTCAAGTGGACACAGCGTCTGATCGGACGATTATAGCGGTAGAAACATGGCAGATGATAGGAGCACCCAGTCTTATCCCAACTCCTGTCGCTGCAAGGGCATCAAACGGCACGGAAATGAAATTCAAGGGATGTGTTTCAACTAGTATCGGATTTGGGGATAAAAATTGTCTAGCAGACGTCTTTATATCGGAGTGTCCGATCGACCTCCTGGGAAATAAGGCAATCGCCGAGTTGGGGTTATGGAGTCAGCCATTTGATAGAATCTGCTGCGCAGTACAAGAAACGGAACAGAATCTGCGGGAGAAGTATGCGAAAATGATGGAAAAGTCAGTCGGGAAATGTACCAAAACGAAAGCAATTTTATGCATTAAACCAAACAGGAAACCAGTTTTCAGGCAATGTCGTCGAGTTCCGTTTGCAATCCAGGAAGACGTGGAGAAAGAGTTAGAACGTTTGCAAGAGAAGGGTATCATCTACCCCACCAATTGCTCCGCATGGGCTGCGCCAATTGTAGCGATTAGGAAGCCAAATGGGAACTTGAGACTGTGTGCTGACTATTCGACGGGATTAAACGATGTTTTGGAGGATTACCACCATCCTCTACCGACGGTGGAGGAAATGTTTTTAACGTTAAATGGTGGAAAGTCATTTGCACGAATTGATCTTTCAGAAGCCTATTTACAGATAGAAGTGGTGGAGGAATCGCAGGATCTACTGACAATCAACACTCCAAAAGGTTTATTCAAGTTTACGCGGCTGAATTACGGCACAAAAACGGCTCCAAGCATTTTCCAGCACGTTATGGATACAATGCTTACGGATACGCAGGGAGCGGTTGCGTACTTAGACGACATTCTAGTAGTTGGTCGCTCGGAGGAGGAATTACTAGAAAGGCTGGACAAAGTCATGGAGAATCTCGTCAATTATGGATTTAAAATTA